TTTGGAATTTATTTTTGAAACCAACGAAGATTATAAGATAATCTTCAGAAAGCAGAAAGGACTCACTCAACATTAATTGAGATCTTCAATACCAACCAAGACAAGTTTAAAGGCATGCACATTAAATCTTTAATAAAATTACCCGTAGCAGTATACAACACTCATCAACAAATTTCAAGCCAAACGAGATAATTTTCAATCAACGTAACGTAAAAAATCCTCAGGACATTATGGAAAAGGCTCAAAAATATTTTTAGAAACCAGACACAAACACGACAAAAAAAAGGCAAAGGAAGAGCCACCACAAATCACAACCAAGGACAATAAGTACTAATGCAAGTAATATTGAAGATGAAGCATCCAAAAATAGTCGAGGGATTAAAAGGCATAAGAATAAGATCAAGAGATTAAAAAACAATATCAATTATTTACTTTGACTATATGTTTAGTATTACTTCTGCGTGAAGTCAACGATTTACATAGTTGAAGATGCTAATTTCAAATAACAGACTGTAGTGGTAATTTTTATACGATAGATGGAGTAGATGAAAGTATAGAGTTGATAGTTCCGTTAGAGTACGGCAGTGTGAAAATTGCATATAGATAGTAGAATAGCGAGCTAGGATAACTTTTAAGGAAGGTACAAATCGGTTTTTTCATCTCTCTTTACCAAACTCCCCTGTTGTGACCCTCCACTTAATAGTGTTCTCCAAATCCAAAATCAAACGCTGTAGACACTACGAGGTGATTCAAATACTATTTATTACTTTAACTACGACTTTATTACAAACTACATTAAAACACTAAATTCAAATTTCCTAGTGGCCAACCAGGCGCGAAAGCGGTTCGATTGGATTTAAAAACGGTCGATACAATTCAAGTTTGGTTGGTTTCAAATCTTCTTCGGCTCGGCTACAGTCGTGTATTCTATTCGTGTCTAGGAAGAGCTTTCGGTATTCTTGCAGTTTTTAGCGTTGTATACTGCGCCGTAAACTTACGCCTACCCTATCATACAAGCATCTTTACCATTTGTGGCACAAACCTAACTAGTTCATATTTGACATACAAGCATCAACATCCCCCTTTGGAGAGGGATGGTGTGGGGTGATTTTCCGGAACAAGCAATTAATTACGTTACACCTAAAATTGCAGTAAAAGAAGATATGCTCTTCCACAATCTACAAATACCACGTATCAAACCATCAAAATGTGAGATGATCCAAGTATCACCACTCATAACTAACTTAACGGTCATCCTACAATACCTGGTAAAAACTGAAAACTACTTATTCTAGACAAATCACCCGACAGACTTCATTAAAAAATACACGGAGCTAACACCATTGTACGACCAATGCGTACTCTCCATTCTGAAAGGTATGGAAAGCACATGTAACGCAACAAGACGGATCGACACACAAATCATAACGATATCGGACAAAAAAAATATTGATTAACAACGTTAGATACCACATGGACGGTGGTCCACACAACGGAACCCTATATGGAAATTATCTTATCACATTCAACAACTGTACCCTGGGAATAGGTGATCTAAAATTTACCAGCAAAAAAATCGTTAGCAACACCAGTCAGGGTGTTTAAGCAAGTTTGAAAATCAATCGGAATTTCTTAAAACATACAGATATTTTGGAAATTCACAATAATATTATGTGGAACAGCAATGGATAAAGCTCATAAAGCTCAAACAGAGTGAGCAACACATTTGGATCCTGGGAATATTAAGCGGATTGTCAATTACAACAGTAATTATCACCAGAATAATAATTTACATTTGTGTCAGTAAAAAGAAGGTAGTACTCAAGATTCGTTTACCTTAACAAAGGAAGAATCAACATACTTCGCAGGAATTACAACACACAGATAAAATAGCCGAGGCCGTCCATTCTTTACCCACCAGAGGAGTTACAACACAGCCAACCACCAACACATAGGACCCAGAAACGGCCAACCACGACCAATAACCCCGTCAGCACTTTGAGTGGCATCGATGCAACCACGCCACTAGAACATTCTACCGACATCAGCAAACCAATAAGACAGACTGCGAACCCATCGACCCACACTGAAGCAGTTGCAAGTCAGCAGTTTGAAATATCAATTAGGAGCAGAACCAAATGACATTCAATTCAGTTTAGAGTTAAAGGAGAAAAGTGTAATGGATTTGTGAATTTTGATCAATAAATGTTTTTATTTTATTATTATAAGTCGTGATTCATAATTCTAAGATCGTCTATAGCTTTATAAAACTTATAAGAATTTCCACGTTATTCATTTAAATAACATGGTTTGGAAAAAATCAAGCCCAATCCTTACGTACATAAAGGCACATGATTCAAAAACCTGTCATGAAGATAATTTTTTGTCGATAACAGGTACACACATATTTGGTATCGAATCGACACATTGGACCCAATAATATCGATGGCTTCCTTCTCAACGGTGTCACGGGTAGCTAGAAATACCACCAAGAAAGAAATTGCATTACAAAAACCCCCACTATATTTCGATGCTCTGGAATTACCGCATCCGGCGACGATGGTACCCTGCTACTCAAAATGGACATTAGGCGAATTAATGATCAAGCAATACTTTCACTTTTACTGCTGTTTTTCTTGCACATGAGCTAATGTCGGTAGGTACGTGCTCCAACTACTTAGACATTTCCCGTGCGATTAATTTGCAAAAATGCTTTCGCATAAACAGACGAAATGCCGGCCTGTGGCAGTGACGATGGGTACGCGTTGGAAACGAAATGTGAAACAGTCCCCCTCACAAGCAGCGGCGGTGGGTGGAATTGCCCATTTTACATACACGCAGGCAATAAAGCTTGATGTTCACTGGTCGGAGGTTTTTCCTTCTTCGCACATCAAACAGGTGTAGATGAGATGACACCGGTCGAGTGAATACAAAGATCAACCAAATCCTTTTCAATTCCACTGTAACTCTTCCTTTCATCATATGCAAATGCTGTTTGGCCAACTAGTTGACCAATTGATGTCAAGTTTTTCGATTTGTTCAGCATATGTGCACACACAGAAGCAATAAGCGGTTTAACAGACGAATATGAAAATGGTCAGCGATTGATGGGTTCCAAGTTCCGACAAAAAAAAACTTTCTCCGACATGAGATTGAACTGCACTCGCAGAAGCAATTTAATCTCGCCGCCGTGCACATTATGGAACATAAGGTGTAAACGCATCGCAACATGCACTCATAAGTACAGTGTCTGTAAATACATCAAACATTTCCGAGACGCAGTGAAGCATCCGATTTTTCGGATGCAAGTGGAAACTATTTGACTGGGTATTTATGACCCAGTGTAAACAATGCAGCTCCAATCGAATTGAATTGAATTGATTATACTTCGACTTTTGGTAGAACTAACCTTTCCATCGGCAACTTGAACAATCAATGATCATTTGAAACCGTACCTGAAACGAAACAGAAAGGAAATGGTGATTAGTGAATTGGACGCACTTCGTAGTACTATCTAGAAGATCAATATAACGAGCCTATTTGATGCAACCGAAGCAAATCAGTTTTGGTAACTTCCGCTTAAAAACAACCCTAAATCAATGACCTACGACTTCAACCTCAAATGCCCTCCAAACACGCCCACTGAATCAGCCCAGAGGAAGCCAATCCACCAGAGAGCCAGCAGAGGCAATTCAATTATTTACGGTTCATTGGACCCCTCAAGCCTCCTCGTCGGTCGGTCGGTCGTGGTTCGTTGACTAATCGGTAATGAACCATGATTTCTCGCCGAAGCAATCATTGAAATTTCTTTATTACTGTGATCACGATTCCGTCCTTCTATCTTATCTTTCTCGACAGCCAAAACTTAATCACTTAATCGATTTGTTACTCTTGCTACTACGCACACACACAACAGCTGACTGCCCAAACTAGACGTTGATGATCAACAATATGATCGTAGCCAGCAATCATTGTTCCGATATTGCACAACATTTTTTTTTTTTTTTGCAACCCATCCACGCTCTAGCCACGGCTGTTCAATCATTCACGGTGCAGTTTTTTCAACCAAATTCCATGTAAAAAAGTAGTAGAGGAAATTCGATAACGATCGAAGCTGTTTAAAATAGACATTGTGTTACGGACATAAGTCGAGCAATCAATTATCACCTGCTTACTCTACCAATTCGAGCATTTCGGGAGCAAGTCGGATGACAGTAGCAAAAGTGAATCGACAATCACAGGTATGCAGTGGCAGGTAACTGTATCTATTACATAATTCACGCACAGTACATCCAGTGCGCAGGTGACAACATTGTATACAACCAATTAGCGTGTCATGCGGAACTACTGCCAACTGGGGAGTGGAATGTAATTTCTCACCACCAGATGAAAATGTCATCATGTTAACATAAATAGGGAAACAGTTTTATTACACTGAACGACAGGTACTGCAACTGGCAATTCAATATACACGTTTAGAGTTAGCTTCAAGTGAGGAAGCTGTAAGCATATTTTGGCTTTAAGCCGCGTCTATATGATATGTGACGCTCCATTTATGTGCATCATAATGAACAGAAATTTACACTTCTTTTTCAAACTGTGTAGGTATGATTATATTTCTAAAATTAGTTAAATTATTATTTACCATTAATACTTTTCCCATAGTGTTTGACAGTTCGAAAAAGTAGTGTAAATTTCTGTTCAATATGATGCACATGAAAGGAGTGTCACATCTCATCTAAGTCTACATTATAAATCGTGTAAAGTTCTGAGACATTTCATGAAATGTAGCAAATATTGTATACAAAAGCCCATATTTGTAAACAACATTGCTTAAAAGAATCTACACACCTGGCATACGTACACGCTCCATAAGCTGATTCCGATGCATCGGAGAACGTATGGAGTTGGATGATGGAGCTCGGCAGCAAAGCGTATCGGCTGACACGGAAATATGCAACTTTCGGAATCTGTCCTGCAAACTCTTCCCAGGAATTCACAATATAGTCCGGAACTTCGTCGTCCCAACCACACGGAAGCAACCACAACCGTTGCATCAGCATCTTGCCCCTTATGATAATCGGCGATATCAACCCCAAAGGATCAAACAGTTGTGAGATTGCGGAAAGAATGGAGCGTTTAGTCGGAGCCCCCTTGTGCTGATGGATCTTAAAGTCAAAATGGAGATTGTCGGATTCGGGTTCCCATGAAATGCCGAGAGCTTTCACTGTTTCATTTGCTTCGAACTTGATCGACGACTGCGTGCCAATTTCGTCGGATGAGAGACCTGAGAGCACCAATATCTGGTTGGATGTCCACTTCCGAAGTTCGAAGCCGCCTTTCTTCAGAAGTTCACTCAGTTTCGTCCTCAATTGTACAGCGTCTTCGATGGTTTGGGCTCCACCAATAAAGTCATCAACGTAGAAGTTTTTTACGAGGTTTGGTCCAGCCAGTGGATATGTGCTGCCCTCATCAATAACCAGCTGCTGCAGCGTGTGTGTAGCAAAGAAAGAGGATGGACTCAAGCCATATGTCACCGTCATCAACTCGAAAATTTCGATTGGATCTGACTGGCTGAACCTCCACAAGATCCTCTGGAAGAGTGTATCGTCCGGATGGAGAAGGACTTGTCGGTACATTTTGGCAAGAAACGTCCGGAACCGAAGAATGATTGACAGGAGATCGTCCTGTACCACGGGACCTACTAACAGAGCTACGTTTAGGGAAAAGCCTGTAGAGGTTTTGGCCGACGCATCGAAGACTACACGTACCTTTGTAGTCGTGCTGGCTTCCTTCACCACCGGGTGATGCGGGAGATAGTATCCTTTAGACTGGTTCTTGCTGCTGTCTTGAACACGACGCATATGACCAAGGGAGAGATATTCCGCCATAAACTTGTAATATTCTTCCTTCAGTTCAGGATTACGCTCGAGTCTTCGTTCTAGTAAATTGAATCGGTTGAGTGCCATTGACTTGGAGTAGCCAATCAGCTCAAAGTTTGATCGACGAGGCAGGTGTACCATGTATCGCCCCTCTGGATCTCTCGAAGTGGTAGACGAAAACAGTTCTTCGCACAGCTTCTGCTCTAATGAATAATCGGACCGGACCGGCAACTGTTCAACCTTCCAAAATCGCTCGATGCTCTCTTGCAGATTGAACAGGGATACCGCTACAATGGAGCGTGAAGGATCCTGACTTATAGTAGGTACCTTGCTTGCTGAGCCAGACACTAACCACCCGAAAACGCTGTCGATCAGCATGGGAAGCAATTCAGACAAGTTGATCCTGTTCGCCGATTGGAAGAATGAGAAGAAATGTTCAATCCCCAGAATCATGTCTATTAGCGCACGCTTATGGAACTGGGGATCAGCCAGGAAGAGCTCCGGTGAAAGGTTCCAATGATCTACTGGAACATTGTGGACGGGTATCTCAGGAGTGACCTTCGGAAGAATCAGGAAATCGGCATCCACGGAAAAGTTCTCCTTCCTGGACCGGATCTGAACATGAACGGACTCCCTCACGTTCTGTGGTTGTGGACCAATTCCCTGGACAAGAACTTTCGTCTTGCTTCGCTTCAGCCTTAGTAATTGAGCCATCTTCTCGGTAATCAGGTTGGGTTGGGATCCACAATCCAACAGAGCACGTGCCAAGTGCTCCTTGCCATAGCGATCAATGACCACAACGATTGCTGTTAGCATGAAAACGTTTCTCTCAATCTCTTGAGGCTGGGCTGTAAACTGCAGTGCGGCTGCCGATAGAACGGACGATGTTAAATCGTCACTCGCTGAGGCCAGATTTACGTTGGCAGACACCTGCGTCTCATTACTTGATCCGGAGGTAATTGGATTGTCTCCGAATCCAGAATGGAGTAGAGAATGATGACGCCTCTTGCAAAACCTGCACGTGTATCTCGACGGACAGTTTCTCGAGAAATGATCAGACCGGAAACAGTTCAAGCAAAGCCGGTTCACGTTGACCAGGGTCAGCCGGTCAGCTGCACTCATTTTCTTGAACTTCGTGCACTTCACCAACGGATGGCGCTGTTCACAAGCATAACACTTGATGGGAGGACTATCGACCGCTGCATGGGACGAAAATTCCATGTTGGAGGTTTTTCGAGTGGAAGAAACATGAGAGGTGACGTACTGTGGCGGAGGTTGAGCGTGATTGACCGAAATGGACTCCAGTACATGGATGCGCCGATGCAGGAACTCAATGAGAGCATCGTAGGTTGGGTTCTCGGTCGTTGATGCATGATCTTCCCACGCCTTGAGAGAATCGTCTGGAAGGCGAACGCACAGCAAATGCTCCAATATTGTGCTCCAAGCGTCCACTGGTTCACCGAGCTGCCGTAGAGTTTTGGTATGCCGCTCGAATTCTTAGACGATCCCGTGCAACGAAGCTGTCGTCTCCTTCTTCACCCAATGGATCTCTAACATCGCCTGCAGGTGTCGCTTCTTGAGGAGGTATTCGTTTGCATATCTGCTCACCAGTGCTTGCCAGGCCAGTGGATAGTTGGCAGCACTAATCGCGAATGACTCGACGACCTGAGCAGCTTCTCCAATTAATGATGACTTCAGGTAGTGGAATTTTTGGATATCTGGAACGTCCTGGTTCGAGTGGATCAACGCCAGAAAGGTGCCATGGAAGGCCAACCACTCGTTGTAATCCCCGTTGAATTCAGGCAGAGTAATCGTCGGAAGCTTAAGACCCTTGATACTGGAGGAAACCGTAGGGGGATAGGATTGGGATTGCCAGTAGGAATGTACGACGGCAATTTCGAAAGCAGACCAGCCTTTATTCGGAAAAATTTGCTCTCAAAGCCGGAACGTATTTGGGTGTTAAGGATTATACCTGCGTTTGACTCCTCGATGCCTTCCAGAACCGCCTGAATGTCTTCAAGACTCTGCCGAATCGTATCCAGATTTTCGATTCGCAGTGCCACCTCTAGCCTATCCCGCTCTTCTTCGTATGCCTCCAAGAACTGTCCCGTTCGAGCCAACGATGCCAGCAGTGACGTGCGCCGAAGCACCAGCTGCCGCTTCTCCTGATGTTCCGCCATTTTGCAAGGCACTCACGTACGCCGATGGTGATGCAGTAGTTCGATGGGCGAAGCGACCGGTTTCTGGGAAAAATGAAGACCAGTAGCCCTGGGATTGGAAATATAGCCGCTTGGAGAGGTACGTACCTTTTCCAAGGCAAAAATGTGCCTTGTATTTAAATATCAGCCAACAGGAACAGGAAGAGTCGTCCGCCACCGAAACCTCGGTCGGCCTTTGTTACCGTCGTGGCAGGAACGACTGCTTGGTACCCACCACCAGAGCAGCCAGGTACCGTGGCAGCAGTTTCCAGCGGATGAAATTTGATGGAAATAGGCCTTGAAGCGGATGGTCTTGGATGACGTCACTCAGCAGCCGTCGTACGTGCCAAAATCGTCCGAAAGTGACAGTAGGAACCGTACACTAACCGTCGTGGACCGTTGATGGTAGGAAAAAGGGTGATCGAGTACACCGGAAGAAACGAGAAACAAAATCTAGAGGGCAGCAGCGGGGGGCCGAATGAATTTGGACTGCTACTGACCTGCTACAGGCTAATTCTATGCCTTGTATTAATTATTATTCTAGCAGCTTCTGTCCTAGGAAAGATGGCAACAGTCACCACGCGGTCCTCTTAATCGATCACAATGGCCGATGCCTCACAATTCAGCTCAGCCAATTGTTTCGCAGTTTAGCAATGGCGCTGTGGATTAGCACCTCGGCAAAATGTTATGGCTTTCGAAATCGTCGTAGTACAATGTTCTGTCCAATCTATCCTGGTCACGGCACCAAATGTTGAGACTAAGGGTTATAACACTCACTGGAGGTTCCAAATTTTATTCTGCGACCTGTCGCGGTGGAAGAATTGGCAAAGACTGACTATGACAACTTAATGTATAAACCTCTGCGGCAGCAGACACGAGAAGAATCCTCACAAACAAAATTAAGTGTGTGTTGGTGATGGTGTCTCGCGTTAAGAGGATTCGGCAGCACTGGTCGAAGGCGAAGTTACACCACATCGCAAAGAATAACGTTAACTACAACACAGCCCTATGCTTTGTTTAAACAAGAATAAATCAGTATGCTAATATCAAACAATGTAATTCACTTTCAATTTTATTTTTAATCGTCCCACCGTTTGAATAAGTCTCATCGTCACCCACCATAGCCGGCCGAACTCCAAACGAATCTAGAACCGAACTATGATTCAAACTGGCGACAATGCTCTGATGAGACAACGAAAACCCACCCTAAGCTCCTCCCCTGATCCTATCCTTGGACAATGTAAACCACAAGTATTCAGCCCAACTTCTACTAGACATAGTGAATTTTGTTACAAACAGTGAACAATGAATAATTTGCTCCGTAAAGCTAACGCGATTGAGCCTTCCAAATAAACGAATTGGATTGGATTGGAGATTCAGTTTATCTATCATAATTTTGCTTTGATATGCTTTGAAGTATTTTAAACTGGTTTTTAATCTGAAATACATTTTAATTGTAATCTGAAATACATTTTTAATTAACATACTAGCTTCAAATTAAAATTTATGGGGAGCTCATCCGCAAGATCTTCTAACGTTGTACCGGACAACGATTTTATCGGTTTTAGAGTACGGTAGTTTTTGCTTCCAGTCGGCGGCTAAAACTCACATCATCAAACTGGAACGTATCCAGTATCGTTGTCTTCGTATCGCGTTAGGATGCATGCACTCGACTCATACGATGAGTCTCGAAGTGTTGGCGGGCATGTTGCCACTATCGGATCGGTTTTCGGAATTGTCCCTCAGGCTCCTCACCCGTTGTGAAGTTATGAACCCACTGGTAATCGAAAACTTTGAGAAGCTTCTTGAGCTAAACCCTCAAACTCGTTTTATGTCATTGTACTACGTGTACATAACTCAGGATGTCAGCCCTTCACAGCATAATCCCCATCGTGTATGCTTCTCCGACTTCGGCAATTCAGTTAGTTTTGATTTATCTATGACGCGGGAGATTCGTGGAATCCCAGAACATCATCGTTCCATGATTGTTCCGTCAATTTACGCTGCAAAGTTTGGCCAAGTTGATTCCGCAAGATCGTTCTTCACAGATGGATCATTAATAGAGGCGTCCGCTGGTTTTGGTATTTATAACGAATTTCATAGCGCCTCTCGAATGCTTCAAGCTCCTTGTTCCGTATATGTTGCTGAGCTGGCGGCAATACATTATACGCTAGAAACGATCGCCTCACTTGCACCAGATCATTATTTTATTTTTACGGATAGTCTCAGTTCTGTCGAGGCTATTCGATCCATGAGGCCGGTAAAGCACTCCTCGTATTTTCTCATGAAAATACGAGAGCTTCTGAGTGCTTTATCTTTAAGATCTTTTGTCATCACCTTTGCATGGGTCCCATCTCATTGCTCGATTCCGGGCAATGAGAAGGCGGACTCACTTGCTAAGGTGGGCGCTATGCAAGGCGATATTTACGATCGACAAATCGCCTACAATGAATTTTTCTTCATTTATCGTCAACAGTCGCTCGCCAGCTGGCAAAATAAATGGAGTGAAGGAAGTTTGGGACGATGGCTATTCTCGATCATCCCTAAGGTGTCGAAGAGTCCTTGGTTCAAGGGGTTGGATGTGGGTCGAGACTTCATTCGTCTGATGTCTCGCCTCATGTCCAATCACTATTCGTTAAACGCTCACTTGTTTCGTGTTGGGCTGGGAGACAGCAATCTCTGTGAATGTGGACAAGGTTACCAAGACGCCGATCACATCCTTTGGTCTTGTGCTGAGCATCGTGGAGTCAGATCTGAGCTATGCGATTCCCTTCGGGCTCGAGGTAGACAACCTAATGTTCCAGTTCGGGATATTTTGGCTAGACGTGATCTGGAGTTTATGAAACTCATATATGTTTACTTTAAGAATACTAACCTTAGATTGTAAGTTTGATTAACCTTGTGTTTAGTTTGTGTATTGTGCGTGTAGTTTTTTTTTATGTTTGTCTTCAAGATGAATAGAAATAAGTTCATGTTTTAGGATTAATTAAATATTTGTATAATAAATCATATTTCAAACCTCCTTCTCCCTTTCCCCATCCAAAAAATTGTAAATCTCCACTAACCTCGAGACGACCGCGAGTAATCGGTTCAATTCCTTTAACTCTAGATTTAAGACATGAATCATGTATAATGCAAATGATAACTCGGCTCTGTAAAGTTTATTCGATTGAGCCTGTACAAATAAATTAATAAAAAAAAAAAAAATTAAAATTTGATTTTCTGATGACTGTGAGTACATGTAAAACAATGATTTTACATTAATATTTAATGTAATACCTAAAATATTTCTTTCATCATAATGTAATACCTAAAATATTTTCTTTATCTATTCAATACACCCTACTTAGAAAAAAGCTATTTCATACTAATGGCGTTAAAATGGGAGGTGGGGGAGGGGGGCATGGGGAGCTACACTCCTCCTAGAATTGAGGTAGCCTCCCATAGAAATGTTACTAGCATTACTTATGTTTCTCGTACATCAAAATCAATCGCTAATTGCCTAATTGGAAAATTCTATATATTAATTTAGCCCCCCCCTCCCCAAGGATTTTTCCTTAGTTACACCAATGCAAATGGAATGGATATTGGATTTCAACCTTTTCTTTTTTACCTTATGTTCTTTTTACCCTCTGCCCTTTAGACCATTTGTAATTGATTAAAAAAACGGCGATTTGAAATCAATTTCATAAGCAAGCTACTTTGCTGCATACTTCGGATTTACTGGAGGACCATCTCTTCGCTCACATATTAGTAACAAATTTAAATTCAGCCTTATACTGCAACTACAAGTGTTTAAAACAAAAACATGATGTTTGCGATAAAATTTTTATTTAAGCTGGTCACTATATCAGTAAGTGAGTTCGAAACATCAACTTTTTGATTTTTGAGATGGACTGGCACAATACGTTGTAATGAGCAATTTTTTTTAATAAAAAAAAGCTCCTTACAACTATCATTCACGTTCATGAATATAAAAAACAACTTGTTAGCTTTAACAAAAATCTGTGCCTTGAAAAGATCAGAAAATGCATAGCCTAATTGTTTTAAAAGTTTTAAAAGTAAATTAAAAAATCAAATGATTCACAATACTTTGCCTCATATCAAAAGGTTGGCTAAAAAAGAAAAACTTTCCCGAGCACATCGTTCACATAAATCTAATGGTTTTGGAGATTGGCTAGCTTCCCAAGCAACACACATCTATCAAAATAGGTTGCTGCAACTTGATTGTGACTGAAATAAGGTGCATACAAGTAACCACAACTGTTAAATGACAAGTGTGCTGCTAGGGTTCTTCATCGTATGCAGTTGTAGATTAAACCAATGCACATTATTGTGTTTTAGATTAAAACAGGCGTAGGATCAACTGTCCCTTAATAAATAACATGGTAACTGGAGGATAGCACGACAATTAATATAGATTTGACAAAGAGTCAAACGGAAACCTCGACCATGAACATACATGTCATGGTCAATTTATTCTGACATTATCAACTTCACAGTTCAACCCGAAACCCACGATACATGAACTTAAAATCATGACCTTCTAAAACTACCCTTACTCCAAATATCAAAGTCAAGCTTTCCTACGACATGTCCCATTTCTCACCCAACTCGAATGCTTAAAAGCAAAACAAAGTTAGCACGCAAAATCATAACATTCACTAACTAATGCCATTCAACGTGCACGCAGCCGCCATAACAAATCACGCAAGACTTTCTTCCCGCAAGTCATCGTCACTGCGGTCGAACGGTCGTCTTCAGTTGAGGAGGAATCTAAATCAATCATATGAAAACATTTATTAGCAGAGCCTCAAACGGCCGACCCAGTTCACCTCATGAAGCCAGAGGGGCCTGTGCATGTGGTTTGCCCTGAGAGACAAATCAAACCGAATAAGCGACGAGGCCGTGCGTCTTACACCCTGGAGTACTTTCATCGCACTATAGATCAGTTCGCTCGAAGCCCACCAAAAGACAGGCGT